TATTATATAATGATTCTTAATTCTTAAGTGTGCTTAAGAGACATGTCTGCTTTGTAATCCTCCTGACAGAGACCATGTTTACTCCTGTCATTTTCTAAATGCAAAATTCTGAAAGCAAAGTATACAAAGGGCTTTTTAGGCACAGTCCAGAGTTAGTGCCCTTATGTGAACATCAGGCACTTGATGCTCCCACTTAGTGCAGTGCAATGTACTACTCTCTATGCTCTCGGAGTTGTCAGAACCACTCCTCTTCCTCCTCCTCTCTGGTCTTGTGTGTCCTAGGGGAGCCTCTATACTCCCAAAAGCACAGGGTCTGCAGTGCTGCCTGGCCTTTACAAGAGCATTGCAAATACAGTAAAAGCTGTGTTAACTGGTATGCATGGGGTAAGGGGAGTGCCGGGTATATAAATTCCAGTTATCTGAGGCAGGGTTTTGAGTGGGGGGGGCAGGGAGTGTGGCAGCAGCTGCATGTGGAGTAGCAGCAGCACAGGGTGATGTGTGGTGGCTGTGGTCACTGCATGCGAGCTGCCCCCCTTCCCTGCCCTCCCCACCATGCGTCTGGCTGTATTTTCAATACATTTCTGATTAATAGAGTACTCTGGATAGTAGACTGCCGGTTAACACAGCTTTTACTGTACATCCTTCTTCCTATGCAGCCATGTATGGACCAGACAGAATTTGACCCATGGGAGAGGATTTTTTTTAATATTACTGTGTGCATTAGACTTTGCAATTGCTTTTTAACCAAGCTTTTGCTATCAGTTTGACAGATTAAAATGCAGCCTAGATAAATTAATTGCTTTGAGACAGAACATCCTGAGAAATTGGCAGAAATACATGACTTCCTCCAAAGATATACTTTCCTTGAGCCTCTGTCTGCTGGCTACCTGCCAGTGTAATCTTGGCACCACCAAAAGCTCTCTAAGATGACTAAAAGCACTGCAAGGTGTGTAACTAACTTTCAACCTGTACAATGCACTCAGGTTTGTGCTTTTTGGTTCCAAAGTTTAAAACACTTTCAAGGAAATCTCCAGCCTTTTTGCATTTTTTATAGAATTGGAGCCAAGAAATGTCTGTTCAGAACATTTACTCTTAATATGTTCAGTAAACAGAGAGAGGGAGGGTTGGGAAAGGAAACCTAGTTCCCACTAACAATTGTAAACATCCATTTGTTTCCATTACTGTCTTTTCATTTTATTTGTAACTGTGTCTCTACTCCCTGAACTTTGTCAGGCAATCTCTATATCTAGTGGGCACTTTCAATTTCAGTTATACCACCTGTTCATTTTATTTACCTAAATCATACACAACTTAATATAGTACACAGTTCTCTACCACCACCATCAATGTGTTAGAAAGTGCTGACACTTTCCAGCCAGGAGTAGTTATCTCAGTCCACCCATTACATACTGTTAAGCCCAGCTAGCCAAAGTTCAGAGAGAAATTGATAATGAAGCCTAAGTATCTTCAATACAATCCTGTATACAAAGAATATAGGAAGTTCTGTTGTCATGCACACTGAAGGAATACAAAATAAGACAGTTTCTTTGCTCTCAATTCCAAATGTCTTTTAGTCAGCTCAAACTAAAATCTCTCTTTACTTTTTCTTAAAGCTAAACTGTAGGTGCTTCTCTCCTGCCTGTTCCTGTTCAGTTGCTCTAATTGAACTCTGGTTTCCTTCATAGAACCCAGAGGGATGCACATCCAACGCAATTTGCTGTATCAGTCCTGAAGGAAACTCCTTGGGCCACATGTTTTAACTCCTACCCAAGCCTGTTTTGGATACTGCCTTGGTTGCTTCAGCTACCTAGTTACATAAAGAAGCTTAATGGCTTCATTACCTTTATCCTGAATGAAAGGCAGCTGATATACCCACCAACTTCAGCAAAATTTTACCTTATGCACATAAATACCAAATATATTTAACCAATGTCTAGCTTGCAACCAATATACTGCACTCTCTCTGGCAACTTCCCAAGCACTGCTACAATGCTTTGATTCTTGGTCTGAATACCATTATTGAAAACAAAGGATGCCGAATGTTTCTTAAAGAAGGATGATAGCTAATATATAACATCATAATAGAGTCTCTGGTTTACAGTCACATGCCAAAGTAAATCTGGTAGATGAAATACTAGACTATTTATTGATCCCCTTTCTGGTAGGAAAGCTGCCTTTTTCTTTACCCAGGGTCAAAACAACTTTGTATGTCTTTCTGAGGTATACCATACAAGTAGCAGCTAGCTCATAAAAGATATGTACACGTGAATGACAAATCTGGATGGATTTCTTTCTCTTTTGCTGAATGCCCAGTTAAAAATTTGTTTTTGTATAGCTGTACCTCTTTATTAATAGAAAGGGGAATGGCAGGGTGGGCACTTTTCAGCCTGAGAGCCAGAAGATGGAGATCACTGACATTTCCATTCTTCTAGTTTTCTCCTTTACCTTGCCTGTTCCTGTTTCCACTTCTGCACTGCTTACTTCATCTGTAGCTTTTACAAGTAAACTGAGTGGAGAAAAAGGAGGAGGACAGACACTCTGTTCTTGTACCACCATCCTTTATTCCTCTGGGAAATGTTTTTTGTTTTACTTTTTACCTGATTCTATCTTGGCACAGATATCCACAGTTGAGGGCAGTGACATTGGAAAATAATTCCCTTTGAAGCCAGCCTCATTATTGTACAGGACATTGGCAGAGAGGGGGTGTTCATGGAAAGACAGAAGCTCTTTCTCACACAGCAAAATCATAATGTTCTCAGAGGGCATGCAGTATCTAGTCTATCAGATTTACTTCAGCACGTGATTGTAAGCCAGGGACTCTATTATGATGCTTTATATTAGCTGTTATCCCTCAGTAAATAAAATTCTGCTTGCTGTGCTTTCAGTAATATTGTTCAGACCAAAGAGCAAAGCACTGTAGTAGTGCATGGGGGAGTTGCCAGAGAGAGTGCAACATATTTTGTCTAATTTAAAACTATATTTAAAAATTAGCTGGTATGAATTTGTCCTCATGACCATGAATACACTAGAGAAGTAACAGAGCAGTAGAGGATGTGAATTCAGAGTAAGTGGGGATTCTGCTTTCACAACATATTGAAAAAAAAAACCAAAAGGACAGGAACTGGGGATCTTGCCATTTGACAAAATAACTATCCCACATTTAAGAGAATGTAAAAGTGTAGCATACTGTGATGTTATCCTGCAGCATCTCTGAAAAGAAGTATACTCCATGGACAGTTCCTTGTACCCTGCCACAAGGTCTCTGCAGGAGTCATCTCTTGTGGGGAGCCACCAACATCTATCTCCAGTGGAACCATGCTATCAAGAAACCACAGAGATGCTGGGTGCTAGACGCAGGGGGGAAGCACAAGAGCTCTATGTAGGTCCCTGGCAAACCATCAGTTTTGCGAGTGGGATCTACAGATTTTGTTTTTAAGGGCTGTCACCAAGATGGAATGATGGGTAGGTGTTCTTGTGAGCAGGGTTACCTTGTAAGAGACTTGTCATACACTTCCTCTGCTTATATCTTCTTTTGAGGGTGTTATCACAGGAACATTCTTAAAGAAACTAGGTGAGGGTTATTTTATTCATCAGGTTAACTGATCTTAATTGTGTTTCTGTGCTCTGTTTATACACTGATGCATTTTACCTTGGGGATTTAGTAGCCTAGTGCTATATACAGTGCTGTATACAGTGCATTCGTTCCGTGAAATACTGTTTTATTAAGGTACAGTGGTCTAGTGTATAGGGGGGTGTGTGCACACACACCACTGATATCTATATCTATATCAGTGGTGCTCAATCTTTTGGCCCTGCAAGCCAAATAAGTCATGTGAGGCTGGTCTGCAGACTGGATTGGACCCCACAGGATTGGGCCTGCACATCCAGATCCAGACTGCTGGACTCACATGCTGGGATTGGGGCCCAGGACCCTGCATTGCCTCTGCTTGGCTCTGCATGCCAGGATTTGGGCCCCAGGACCTTACACTGCCTTTGTCCAGCTTTGTGCACTGGGATCAGGGTCCCCCACTGCATGCCAGATCTAGCACTTGGGGCATTGCAGGCTGGATCAAAAGGCATTAGGGGTGGGATCTGGTCCAGTGGCCAGGGTTAAGCATGTATATCAAAACTGACTATACTTACTTATATCTAAGATGAGGTTGTCCCCCCAGTCAACATCTTATATCTGCATATGTAGCAGGGGTGGGGCAGGCAGCTGCTGTGGTTCTGACTCTGGCCCTGAGCCCAGGTCAGGGCTAGAGTCAGACCCACAGTCGCTGCCTCTTCTCCCTCACTGCTTGCCCTCTGCTGCTTCTGCCCCCTTCCCCTCCTCCTTTCTCCCCCTTTACTGTCAGGCACAGATTAACTCCAGCTTGGGCTGGATTCTCTCTCCAGCATGGAGCACATGGAAACTCCATCCTCTGCCTTGCCAATCAACTGTGCCACCATGGCTGCATGGCCCAGCAAGGGCTGTGCTTCTTTGTGCTGAGCTCTGTGACCCAGGAGAAAACAGAACCCAGCAGCATCTGATAATAAATTGGGGGGGCAGGGTAGGAAAGAGGCAGAGATGTTGGGAGGGAGGAGAGACTGGGGAGAGTGGTGGGGAAAAGAGGCAGAGACTGGGGAGAGTGGTGAGGAAGGGGAAGGGACCATGGGGAGTTGGGGGTGGGGGGGAAGGGACAGATGCTGGGGGTGGAGGAGTGAAGATATCAGGGCAGCAGGGTGGCTGAGGACTTAAATATGGGGGGACTTGACCCCCCCCAGCCATTGCTTTCCCTGCTCTAGCCGGGGGATGAGGGGGAGAATTCAAGGCACCCCTCTGATAATTAGATTTTGTACCTGGAAAATTATAGCAAATTTATAAATTTTCCATGTATGTAATCTAATTATTGGGGGGCTGTCTTAGATTCAGGGTTTTCTTTGATTCAGGTAAATATGAGATAAGCTTGTTAGTGGAATACAATGTTATCATCCCCCCTCCCCCTTTTCTTTTTTTGCAGGCATAGATATTCTTCACCAGTTAGGTCTTGGGACAGATGCACAACATTCATCTACAGCGACTACAGTGCCATTATCATCTGCTCCATTACCTCAGGGGGTTCGCCTAACAACATCAGGAGTTCTTTTGACCAGTGATGCCCACATTGAATCCCCCATCACTCAAGTCATACCATCAAATCTGGGGCATCAGCTCACAATACTGATTGGGTTGCACTCTTTCAGAGTCAATAATGCTTTTCTTTTCAGTATTAGAAACAAAAATAGACTATGGTTTGGTATACAGTTGCTACCAAGAAAGGTAGCAGTATATATAGGGGGGAAGGCCTCAGTATATTTTGATTACAGTGTTCATGATGAAAAATGGCATTCATTTGCTATTGACATTAGAGACAAGACTGTCTCAATGTTTGCTGATTGTGGAAAGAAGTATTACAGCAGGGAAACACTTTCTAAAGTGCAGGCATTTGATTTAGATGGTTTGTTTACCTTGGGAAGGATGAACTCTCATTCTGTCAGCTTTGAAGGAGTAATATGTCAGTTGGATATTATCCCGTCTGCACAAGCCTCTGCAAACTATTGTAAATATGTGAAGAAACAATGTCGTCAAGCTGAAACATACCGATCTCTGCTGGCAGTTCCCCACACATCAGCTGAGGTCTACGTAAACTTTCCAAGCAAACCATCTGATGAAAAAATGGAGTCAGAACATATATCATCTTATTTAAGAAAGAAAGCATCACATCTTCCTGTTAACAATACTGGAATAGTCCATAATCCACCAGAATCCAAGGAGTCAACAAATATCTCTTCAACAGAACTTGCTAAATCTGAACCCCCGCCCATCAAAACTAGACCTAAAATTAGTATCCAGGAAAATTTTAGTCTGGTATTTCATCAAAAAGACCTGGACAGAAAGAGGCATGACACCAAAAAAATGCCCAAATTGTATCCAAATATTTCAGATAATGGCACAGAAGATGCAGGCACAAACAAGGAGCCCCTCCTGGTCTCTTCTGTATATCACAGTAAAATGAAAAACACAGGAAAGGATAACGAAGTGGAGCAGCATTTTGATGAACCTGTGGAAATACAGCAAATTTTAAACACAACTCTGTACAGGGATAGTGTGGACTCAGCCTTGGATAACCAGTTTAATCCGTGGAGGGAAGATGCAATTGATGCTGATGAGTCTTACAATGCAGAAAATAGTTATGATATTGATACTGACAGTTATGCTTATAACTATGAAGATCTTGAAAAAATGTTTGAAATGGAAGACATGAGAGGCCCAAAAGGGGAAACTGGGCCTCCCGTAAGTTGTCTTTATTATGTATCTTACAATAATACAGCAGCGTTCATTTAACAGCAGGCTTTGAAATTAAACACTGCAAAGCATGCCAAAGCTGCGAGTGAAACATCTCCTGAATGCACTGTGCAAATTTATGGGTGCTATAAGATACGCATCTCTCCAGAATGTAATTTTGGTCGAAGTGTGTGTGTGTGTGAGAGAGACAGAGAAACTATGTATATAAATGTATATATAATTTTACTGGCACAGTACAAAGACATTCAGTTCTTGTAAAGTAATAGGCAACTCAGATGTCTTTTTTTTTAATGCACCCAGGCATTCATAAATATTTAATATGCAGGCATCTCACTTAAAATATTACAGAGCAAATTCATACATATTTAAGTGTTAAGACCAATGTATGATAAGAGTGGATAAAATAACAAACCAAAACAAATAAGTTTTGTTTGTAGGAGTTGCATGCTGTATTGTTCCGATTATAAGGTAACCTCCATATTTGCCGATTTCAGTCTTAGGGGGAAAAAGCTTTTTGAATTAATATAAGTTGATAACTATAGATAAAGGCCTTGAACTGCTGTCGCCCTTACAAAATCCCACAGGAGAAACAAAAAACCAAGAAAGGACCCAAAGGATTAAATGCACCAAACGTACTGAAATTAAAACTTCATGGAAAAAAATTCTGACTTGGTATTTTTACTGCAAGCATGCACAAAAAAATACTGCAGGACAGGTACAAAATTAAGATTGTCAGTGTTGATTGTAGGTCAGCCCCATGTACAAGTCATACGCATTTTTTATGGTTCCTTTTGAGAGAGACAGACTTTTATAATCGGAACAAAGTAATTTCAGTTGAGCAGCAGTCTTAAAATTTATAACTGTATGACAAAAAACAAACTATGCAGGTAGAAGAGTGTGCTGTCCCAAGCAAATGAGTCAAGAACTTCATTCTGAGGCACAGTTTTTAGGATCTGTACCAAAACATATTTACATTGACTGAAATGTAATTTTATTAGTTATTGTGGTAGGCAGGCTCCAAAATGTTCGAAACTCATGTTAGTCTGTTCTTTGATATAAACTTTGTTTCACTTCATCTGCTTTATTTCCCTAAACCTTCCCAATGCATATAGAGGGAAACTAATATATGCAAGATTATAGACAGAAAAGAGTGTTTCTCATCATGCTTGCTTAATTGGAGAAATAGGATAGTTGATGCCTATTTTCATTTCTGGTTAAAAGCCATAAACCATAGAATAGAGTAGATAATTCCACTTGCTCTCCTCTGTGTTTTTGTGGTTATTATTGGAAAGTTATTTGATATGCGTTAAGCAGCTCCTAATATATGTTTGAAAGTGTCCATAAATTTAGTGTACATATTCTATCAGCCCAAGAGACATCTTTTATCGAAGCTAGTCATTAGCAAGTAAAAACATATTTAAGAGCCCAATTTTTACTTTAAACAAGATCCAGATGTTTAGGGCATGTGACACGAGTGAGAAGTGTGTTAAAAACTAATTAAAGTTAATCCACACACAATCTTGCTTGATCCCCTCTGAATGCAGTTTCAGCCCTTTAATCTTTTATGCTTTTGCCCTTTTGTAACAGTGCTTCTGTAGTTATATCATTAAGTCAGTAGTTCTCAACCTTTTTAGGCACAAAGCAACCTTCAGAAAATGGCGGCTCTTAGCTTTCAATTGCTTTCAATAGTGTAATTCTTCTGTTGCAAAGAACACAGAGAGACTGCAACAGGTCAGAATGTTTTTGATGCTGTTTGAAATCACTGGGTTTATCTTTTGAATCACGTGTAGGTGTTTGTACACTGTCACGGGGAAAAACAGAGGGGCAGACCCCGAGGAGCCAGGGGGAACCCTGGGAGCAGGAACTGGCCAGGGAAGGTAAAAGGAGAAAGAAAGAAACAGAAAATTTCTTACCTGTAGTGGGAGCCGCGGCGAAGCCGGAAATGGCAGCAGGACCTCAGTGGCTTGTTAGCCATGCCTTTATACAGCTGCGGCCAGCTGATAAGACAGACAGTAGGAACTGGCCGGGGGAGATAAAAAGAGCTGCTGGCGTGAAAATGGGGGAGAGCACCAGCTGGGAAGCCTCACCTGGAGCCCCCACAAGGGGGAAAAGCGTGGGAAGCTGCCTCTTGCAGCACGGGAGGATGCAGTGAAGCCCGCCACGGGGAAGATGCTGCCGGCGGCAGCGCAGGGAGTGAGGGATCAGAGGCACCTCATCCAGACCGGGAACCAGGATCAGGGGACCGGGAAGAGCCAGAGGAGCCTGAAGCCCAGGGTTACCACCAAAGAGCCGGAAGAGTCAGCAGAAGCCAAAACACCAGATTAGGTGGGACCGTAGAGGGCTCGGGAGGGCTCAAGGAGTTGCCCCAGGTGGGGGACGAAGGGTGCGAGCAGCGTGAAGGGCAGTGGAAGATGGGCCCGAACAGGATAGAGCTGCCCCAACAGGAGACGTGGGGAAGACATGCCAAGAAGGACCACCGAGGGTCCAGCGAACCCACAGGCTGGGCAAAGAGTGGAGAGGAGGATGGGGTAGCTTGCGATCTAACCCAAGCCCAGTTTAGGGCTTTCTAGGGGCCTTAGGGGCTGGGGCCTGTTGTTGTAGGGCAGGCTGTGGGAGCATGCAGTAAAGGGGGCAGAGGGCCTCCCTTAGTATCTTTGTATTTCTCTGTTGTCAGTTTTTTTCTATTTCCCACTCTTTTGGAGGGGTTGCTGGGTGAGGTATATGGAGCCGGAGTGTTGTTTAAACTGAAAGGGGGTTTACAGTCACAGGAAAGGCTAGACAGCCATGAGGTGCAGTGGTGGAGTTTGGGTTTGACCCGGCTGCCCTATAACCTGTTTCTGCACGGGGCATGGAGCCTCAGCTGTCAGGGACTTGGCCGAAGGACATCAGGAACTCATCAAGGCAGGGTGTAAGGGTGAGGTAGAGGGGAGGTTGGAGCCTTGCAGAAGATTGGCATCCAGAGGTCCCATACGCGAGAGAGCCCCAATAGTCGGACCCCCCACCACTGGGGTAAGATACAAAGCCTCTCCCCCAATCTCGCCTACCACGGCTATCTGAGGAAGAGACACCTACTCGGCAGGACCACAGGAACGGACCGGCGGACCACCCCAAGCATCCAGGGCCGCATGGCGTGTGACCGGATGTTCGAGACCAGACGGGTACATACACCTAACAGTGCTAATATTGTGCAGTAGCCTTAAAAGGATTTCGTGGCACCTTAGGGTGCCACATCATCCTGATTTGAGAATCACTATGGTAAGTCCTTTGCTATCACCAAGATGTCATTTACTCTCATTTTAAAGTTGATAACTTATAGCCAATAATATGCAAGAAATGAGAGTATTTTGATGATATCTTGTACTGGACAAACTACATAGTTGGGAGAGATGTTAGGCAAGTGTTTGGGCACAATGTGTCCTTCCTCAGGTCTGTCTTTCCTCCTGGGTCCAGGCACCTAATTTTTAGCCATTGTGACACCAAAGCTGGAGGCAGCTAGGGACCAATCTGGATTTTTACCTTACCTTTCATTTTTTAAGATTCAGCTCAATGTCTTAATCTCAAGATTGTCCTTTCTTACTGTGGGCCACAAGTCCAAGTCCAGAGCTGTGCTGTTCCAGAAGGACAGGAATCCACCCCTTCCTGATGTCCTCCCCACTAGGGCTTCATGGAAAATTTGAACTAGTAGAGTCTCTAGAAGGACATACAGTTGTATGCCCAGGTGATCATGGGGACTGAAGTCTCATTCCTGGTGAACTGCAGTGATCATAGGGAGTGCGGTGAAAGCTCCTTCTTCCCTTCTAGTGCAGCTCCAGTGTGTGCTAGACCAGTGGTTCTCAACCTTTTTTATACCCGGACCCATTTGAAAATGTTGGCCAGTTCTGACCCAGTGTCCTTCACTCCTGACCTGCTGACCCCTGCCCCCAGTGTGCAGGGTGGGGTAGGGAGAGGTATCTGTGGGGCAGGAGGGGGTGTGAGGCAGGGTGGGCCCCAAGCAGCCGCTTGCAACCCAGAACTCCAACAGTCTGCAAGGGAAAAGCCATGGTTTCCCACATTTTTCTCCTTTAAAGGATAATCCATTTTTAAAGTTTGATCCATTTTTAAACTTCGCTTGCGACCCTTTCATATATTTTTGCAACCCACAGGTTGAAAAACACTGTACTAGAGCAAATGATCTAGACCTTGGGTTCATCATCTCATTACTCTGCTCCCTCAGGCAGACTGCTCCATTAGAGCAGTTATTGAACTCCATACTGCCATTTGAATGGATTAATATCATTCATATTTCTGAAGTTTCATCACTGGAAAGCTTGAGAAAGAGACAGCAAAGAACTTTCAAAGTTCTTCTGGAAGCAAAAAAATGCTGATGAGGCAGGAACCCATTTTGTTTTCTTTCAGGATGTTGTGGTCTTTTTGAATACTCTGCAAGGATTTCAACAAAGTAACATTCATCCTATTGAGGCTGACATGCAATAACTAGCTTTGTGGTTCTCAAACTCTTCAGCTTCAATTTAGTTTTTAATCATCCACCATTGCTGATTCTTGCCTAACCTAATTAGGGCCCCTTGTATTCCATGATCCCACAGCTTTGGAATTCAGCCTTTGATATTTCAGTTTATGCTTTGGAATTTCAGCTCATTTATAGGTAATGTATGGATAAAACACCCTTTTTAGTATTTCTGGAAATGTAAATAAATTGCTATAAAAATTTATCACTTATGTTTACCAAAGTCTCCTTTCAAACATGAAATGAGTCAAATTGGTACAGTATGTGTCTTCCTGAGGCTGAATTAATAGTTTCAAGGCAAGAACTGACCTGTTCACCTGAAGAGGCTGTTATTACTTGTATTGTAATAATGCCTGTGAGCTCTGGTAGTATACTAAGACTCTATTGTACTACATGTTATATAAAAACATTACAAATATATGAATCCTGCCCCAAAGAGGCCAATCCTAAATTGTTTGCCATGACAGGATGTATAAATGCTATG